CTATGCACAGCTAGAGTTTTAAAACCAGCGATAAACTTTTGCTGCAAACTTAATGACTACTTTCAATTTCACAAGGTTGTTTTTACAGCATCGATGTTGTAATGTAATTACTGTACAATACATTGACTTCAATAAACTTAAGAATTCATTTAGTTGTACAAGCGTAAAACTAGATGAAAGATCGTTGTAACCACTAGCGCTGTCAGTAGCAACTGGCTAGTGCAGAAATTCCACTGAAAAAACGTAAGTAAAATAAATGTTCATATTTTAAAGACATGTTGGAGGGGATGAAATTTAATGCAGTGCTTTTGTACGATTGTATAACCCACTTCATATCATATATCTAACAGGCAGTGAAGATCGCTGATTTTTAAAGAAATCAGATCAACGTGACTTAAACGTGACAATTTTGTAATGGAAAGACAGTTCACCGGAAGCCCTCGGGCTGCCAGGCTAAAAATTAAAAGTCTGTGTGCATATAGTCCATTTTAATTGGTTGCACGTTAGACTAAATATTTTGATTAAATGAATGCTTCTTGACATGATGTTGACAAATGTTTTGGGTTGGTATTAGGCAAATTTATTATGACTCTATTTAAATTACTAACAGAAAAAACAACTCATTCTCCCAATTTGAAATCAATTCCTCATTTAGGAGACAATAATATTGTCTAATTTTTGTTGTGACAATTTTATCAGCAATTTTCATTTGCAAAAATCTTCACTACATCACAACCTGGACAATAACTAGCCTTTTTTGTGATTTGTAAATTTAGACACTGTTAAAACTGTTTTTAAACATTCAAAAACAATTGTCATTTAGAAATGGTTATTGTCACAATTAGAAAGAAAAAACTAATGAATAATAATTTTAAAACAAATGGTCTTCTCTAGTGATTTTAGTGCATTTTTCACATAAAGATGCAAATTTGTCTCTTCATATTCATCTCAACATGTTGCTTGCTATTTTTTGTGATTATTTGTATAAATATTCTAGCAGACACTCACTAGATATTGCTTCTGTAGCTTTATTTCTAAACAAATACTGCTCCAGTTTTTCTTTCAGTGTCCTAAAACTCAACATATAATACTGAGTGCGTCTTGAACATAAAGAACAACCAAGACTTGCTTAAATTCCCTGGCTTGTCAAAGTTCATTCATTCACGTCACCGCCCGAGGGTCCCTTACTAGTTTCCGCTCGTGTTCCTCTTCTGGATTTAGGATCATGCAGGTAAAGTCTGTGCCCTCAAATGACATTCACACTATCCCAAAACTGCATACAGTCACAGTGCCAGTAGCTCAAACTGACCTTTAAAACATCAATTCATGTCATTCATTCATTGCATAAACATGAAAAAGCAGTCTGAATGTTCTTCTCTCGAGTGCATGATTTCTTCCTCAATCCCTAGACGTGCCTGCACACTTTTCCGTCCATTTTTAATGCTTTAAATAATAAATTACACTAATTTAATAACACCCAATATGGACATAGTGGAAAACTGAATGCAAAGAGAGAAGGAAAAAAGTCCATTACAGAGAGCATTCAAAACACAGCCAACTTTTAGACCTTTCCCCGTCCCAATCATTTAAATAAACTAGAAAGAGCAACATTTTGCAAGGGAGAAGTTCAAACAAAGGGCATTGGACAGCCAGTGAAAGACTGACACTTCAATGAAGTCTCCAGTTACATCTGCATGCAAATGCTTTTGATGTACGAACATGTTTTGATGTATGAACGTTTACAGTTCATGAGGGAGACGTGTTAGAAAACAGCGGGAGTCTCTACCCCATACAGGTTTTAAAGCAAGTAATGATTACCCAGCGTGGCTATAAATGCAGTCAAATTGTGCTTTTAAATGCCATAAGGATCCAATTAGGTGCACAGATGTTTAGAGGGGAAGGGTGGTGTCATCAATGACATCATTAGCTGGCCTTCTTGACATCATATATCTTCACACACCCTTTTGAACATTTTCTTGTTTCAGATTCAGTATTTTGCACATAATAAAAGTTGAATGTTGGATTGTTACACACTCGCTGTTAAAAAAAATAAATTTATAGATCATAAAATAATATTCCAGACATTTTGATACCTTGTTCAACATCCAATTTAAAAAAGCTGTTTGTGATATGCGTATAAAGAAAATTAGGTAAGAAATTGCTGGCGATAGTTAGATTTTTCATATCCGGCAACCTCTTCTTATAGATCTGAAAGGCGTTCATTCATCTAGTTTGTGTTGCTTTAATAAATGTATATATTATTGAGTGGGTAACAGATTATATAGCATGTATTGATGCGATAAAAATGTATATAAAAATATTTAACTACTAGAGTTTATCTAACTACTAACCTATTATAATTAATAATTATCATTATTATCAACCAATAATGTATAATGCAAAACAGCTAACTTGCCATTGGAATGAAAAATAATTTAATACAATTTTAAATTGCTAGTATTTTTAATCAGTTAAAGTGAGTCCAAGTCATTCGAAAAATGATTTTAAAAAACAATAATTTAAATATTTTTTTCCACATTTTTGCCTTGTTTAAGGCACATGCCTTGGACTTGCTTGCTGTTTATTCTGATGAATGCTTTACCCATAGAGACACATTAATTAAGCTACCCCTGAGCACTTTGTTTGATTTTGGTTATATTTATAATTTACTTAATTGTTATATTATTTTAAGTAACTGTAAAATGATAATAATAATACAGTTTTAAACATTTGAGTGGTATAACGAGGATGTAAAGGAGACAATGTTTCTTTCTTTCAATTTTATATGAAACCGCATGTCTCTGCACAAGAAATATTTTAGAATAACTGAGATGTTATCTGTAGTTGTTTTTAACAGTTAAAATTAAATTTCTTCATACATTTCCCTTAATGTTTGTTGAAGTTTCAGCAATTTTTTTTAAATATAATAACAGCTATTATTTAGCAGCTCAACTCAAGTCATAAAATATAAATAGTCATTTCCTGCAAATGAATGCTCTAAATGGCAATATTCTTATTTGAAACTGTACATATTATTAATAGTTTAAAAAATAAAACACTTTATTTGAAACACATACCTATAAATATGAGATATGAGCAATATCACACAAGTAGCAGTGCAATATGGCTGTATATTGGCACTGGTGGGAGGTGTGCATTAGTGTCCAACCAATGACAATATACAGCCATATTGCACTGCTACAAGTGTGATGTCGTGTATATACAACAGTTCGATGACATTATCATGTATATATTACTTTCTTCCACCATTCATTTACATCTGCAGCAAACATCAAAACAGCAGAAACCATTGCTACTTCACCAATGTCAATTTAAAACTAGTATTTAAATTATTTATAGCTTAATGTCTAAAGTGATGACAAACGAGGTGATTATAAGGTTATAAGATAAGATTATAAAGCTGAACGACATTAAATGCCATCAGTCTTCAGAGATTTCGCAGTATTTCTCTGTTGCAATCGAGATATCACAATAATTAAACCATAAAAAGCCAAAGCAAAGCAAACACAACCAGATTACTATGGTAAAATACAGCACTGCAACATACAAAAGAGAGAGAAAGAGACTTAGAATGTCATTTACATGTTTTAATGATTTGATCAGCTGTTGTTGGAAATGATGCTGAGTTTTTCTCCTCTAAGGACTTATGCAAAATATTGCATGCCTATCAGCCAATTAGACTCGAGAACCAGACAGAACTATTGTATAAATATATATTATTATTATTATTATTATTATTATTAATATTAATAATAATAATAATATGGCAACACTTTACAATAAGGTTCATTAGTTAATGCATTTACTAACATGAGCTAATCATGAACAACACATGTACAAGATTTATCAATCATAACTGAACATTTACTAATGCATTATTAATATTCACGTCCATGCTTGTTAACATTAGTTAATGCACCATGAGTTAACATGAACTAACAATGAACTACTGTATTTTCATTAACATTTCATTAACATTTATTAACATGAATAAATACTGTAGTAAATGTATTGTTCATGCATTAATTAACATTAACTAATGAACCTTATTGTAAAGTGTGACCATTATTATTATTATTATTATTATTATTATTATTATTATAAATATAATTAATTAATTTATAATAATATTGTTAGTAATAATTATATTATTATTATTATTATTATTATTATTATTATTATTATTATTATTATTATTATTATTATTATATTATCATCATTATTTTTATAAATATTATTGTTATTATTATTACTCTATGTATATACTATTTATTTATGTTATACTATTATTATACTAATATTATGATTATTGTATAGTATGATCCTATATACTATTTTTATGATTGGTCAACTATTTGAAATGTAAATTTAAAGTAAGAAAAAAAATAGTTTTAGTTATACAGTTTTACTTCATATTAAAATAATAACCCTGGTCCATACTTCAAATGACTGGGCTTTTACTATAGAAATATCACCATTTCAAGTGACATGAAGTCATCATCTCCAACACCACCATGCTCTCAAACATGACTTCATTTATTAGGGGAAACACTGACACGTGGATGGAAAGCACAAGAGCGTCAGCTGGACTCGAGCCCCCATAAACAAGCGCATGTGGACCATAATGCCTCACTCATCTTTACTATGATTATGATACAATAAGACATTCCGGTTCACTATAAGTGCAGTCTGCTTTAGGGTTGCTCTATTTATAGATTAAGCCTTGCTTAATGCTTAATAATGCGAAGAAACCTTCGCATGCATTGCAGCGATGAGTTAGCTGAACAGGTCAGGTGCCAAAAAAGTCACCTTGCACCTGCCTCTCATAACCCTCAAAACAGACACGCAAGCGGACAGTTTTACCCCAGATGGATGGTGACAACAAGAAAGGCATCACATTTGTAAAGTAACATTCTCTCTATACCTTTTGGAGACACATTAAGAAGAAGGGAGTGAATAAAGTGCGAATGGGAACTTACTCTTCTCCTCGGAGGGAGAGAAAGGAACGAAAATGACAGATGCAATCCTCCAGAGAGTGATCCGGTTTGTCACTGCATGCGATACAGTCCTGCTGAAACAGAGCACAATGTCTGAGTCCCCCTTTGCTTCCTGTGACACTGTGCCTTGTGCTGTGATGCTCTTTGGTTTAAGGACTGAAGAATATCAGAGTTCCCAGCCTCTCAGCCAATCAGATTGCTCTGCTAAACCCCCCACCCTCCCCAACCCTCCCTTAAAGTTCCTCCAGCAGTCGCCAGCAGAGACTCGAGAGATGTTTTCAAGAGCAGGGGCCACTGCAGCATCACAGCGGGATACTTGGGATGTCTCAAAGTAATCTAACAGTGAGCATTTTTACATGCATATTACTGCAGGATACTTAGCGCACGACACGCTGATAAGACTTAAGCACAAACTAATAACTTAGCAATACAAGTAAACAGTGTGTTCAAGACTTAATTATTTAAATAAGGAATAATTAATATTTGGATATTGAATTATTAGGAAATAACGCATACCTGATGGTGATTCATCGCTAATGTGATGTTATTTATTCCACTTATACTATAGTTAACACATGTAAACACATTAAATTGTATTCTAAAGCCATTTGTCAGATTTTTGTCCCTCAACCACTGCTGTGTGTGGGACTACTTTTGTTTTGGTTACGTTTAATTACGTCAGTTGTAGGTCATTTGAAATTACTGCAATCATTTGGCGTAGTGATACAGAACTATAATGTAGTCATGTTCTGCTTGGAACTATTTTGTTGGGCTGTTTATCTGAAAATAACTGAACAGCTTAGAATGTTAATCATCAGCCAATCAGAATCACACATGTAACAGCCCTGTATTATAAACTGGTTTATTTGGTGGTAGTAATGTCAAACTCGCCTAATGAGTATTATTTAATAAGACGTCAACATAATAAATGTAAATCAATAAAACTGAATGGCTCAAATATTATTTTTTCCAGATTCAGGATTTCCACCGCAGCACTATTTTTGCAGCATGGCATGACAACATATACGTGTTCAGTTATGAGGCCCACACAGCATCTTAGTGCGCAGATTTCCACTGACTTTTTATTTAATCATTGAGTTTATTTATTCACTTGTATAAATTTATATTAATTTAGGTTTTTTTTATCTAATTTAAGAAATATTATTGACTAATATAAAAATGCTCATATGATTTATTTACAAAACAGTTTATAAAGTAACATTTTCTGTCTTTTAGTAGATATAAGAGACTTGCTTTGTTTACCAAATAAGTGGATCTTACTGGATTTGCATTGTAAACATTAAAGTTAAAAAAATAATAATAATTTCATGAGTAAAATTTTTAGTTATGATAAATTTTTAGTTATGATACTCCCAAAATCATTCCGCATAAATTGTTACAAAACTTTTGCAAAAATAGCCAAAATGTCAGCAGATTCTGTCTGGCTTTATGAGTAAACAGTTACAAAGGATAGAAAAAAAACAGACCGAAGAAGAGCAACAAAAAAAAAAACAATTCTAACAACTGGCATGTTAAAATATTTTATCTGCGATGCTAACAGTGATCGATGGAGTTTGATTGCGATGACTAATAATTTATTATTATCTTAATAATTACATTTAGAAGAAAAACTAGGCAAGCTAATCTACAATAACACAACCAAACAGCAACTGAATCACACAGCAGCAATCGATCAGGAAAGCATGGTATTTTTGGTTTTATTTGGTATCATAGTATTTTCCTTCCTGCAAAATGTCTGAATGCACTTGATTCTGAGGTATCACAGTGATCGCACTTCAATAAACTAACAGAAAATCAAGATAAAGTGAAGTTGAAATCAAAATTTACAATGCTAAATTTTCCAGCACACATTGTCAGTCTTAAAGAATATGCTTTGATTTGTGCACTTTTTATTCATTGTTTGACAATCTCAACTGAAAAGTTTAGAGCGGGACTTAGAGTAGCTCCTTCCCTTTAAAAAAAAAAAAGGTCTGCTGGTGAGGGTGGTTGAGATCAAACGCATCAAATGTAGAGCAAATAAGAAGCGTCTTGAAGGTGGTAGGACATGTCAGATACGAAAAAACATTTGATTGGTCAAGATTTAATGTGAAACTGAAGTATGAGGTGACGTGAAAAAAAAAACATTGATCCATTTGGTGGAAAAAAACTGCAAGCTGTGGATGTTAGTATCAGGTTTATATTTTCTAAATTTGAATTGTCAATGTTTTTAAGCACACTAACTTGTAGATATCCTTAACTTACTTTTTTTTTTTTTTTTTCAAAGGACTTTTAAAGGTGAACATCTAATTTAAAAACACTGTTTTGTAATTCTTATTCAAATTTCCCTGTTTGTTTGTCCTCTAGAACAACAGTCTATCATTGATGTTTGATGGTTTTAGTGCAATATGCTTATGTAATTTGCTCCAACCAATAGGTTGTTTTCACATGACATCATTGATAATGCATGAAATTCTATTGGAGGGCAGGAAGTGATTCTTCTACATAGGAATCGCTATCAGAACATCAAAATGTTTCTGTTTTATGTTGTTTATGATTGTTTAAAATGGGCAAAATAAGAAATGCCACACAGATTCTATAGACTTGCAAATGTTTTTGCGAATAAAGGGGAGAATGTTCATGAAACTGGCTGATAAACAGAAGAAAAAGAGGCATGTAATAAAAATTTTCAATAAATCCATGTGTACAAATGTTTTTTGAACACTAAGTCATTTGACAGCACCAATAAAATTATGTACAGGCCTAGATGTGTATAAATATGCTATTGTGTTATAGAAAAGTCAGATACAAACACCACCACACTTATACAAAACTCCACATACTGTAAATATACTGTAAATAACTCACCCCGCCATGTAATCGCTACAATGAAATCTCCATCTTGTTTTGCAATAACCCAAGTCTTTACTGGCATTTCGGTGGAATAAACAACCTTAACATGAACACCGAGATGCGCAGCAGCGGTGAATGTTTGTTGATGGTAAGTTCATCAACAGAAAAAAAAGAGAAATGCAACCCTTATGACAACTATACGTTTATTACTGTGGAGCACTTTTTTACCCTAAACAAAAACAAATTAATAATAAAGTAGATTATGCGTCTACTCTTTGTATGCAAATCGTGGACGCATAGTCTAAAGTATATTATTATTTATGGATGTCTGGAAGATATCCACATGGTATAAAAACTATTTAAATTTAAAAGTAATTTATAACAAACATGTTTTTGACCCACATATTGAAGTGTTTAATATGTACAACTCTTTGTTAATGAATGCTACAGAATACTGCAGCATAAACTGATAAACTGTAATAAATATGTTAATGTTAGTGTAAACTGTGGTGCATTCTGAAGGTGTATAATTATAGCGTAGAAAACTGATGCTTATTGAAAAATTTGTTTATTACTACAGTTGTGTTGTACCTGAGCATGAGCAACAATATAATTACTACAACAGTTTAATTCAAGTAATTATCTATAGTATGCTTCCAAACACTAAAGTATTTACTATAGTGTTTTTTCATGTAACGTAATAGCTTATGCATTGTCTACCGCCTCAATGATAGGCAAATATATTATAGTTCAGTAGATATAATATCATGATATTATCTTCATGATATAAGGATCATGCCCAACATATGTCAGGGCTCAACAATAAGAACTGCCCGATGGCCCGGGGTCAGCCTGAGAGATGCTCAAGACAGTAAACAGAATCGTTACTGTCCTGATCGGGGCAGTGCTGCCTTGTCACTAAATTTTAATAGACGGCAACATAACCGGAGCATCAAATTATGAGGCTAAAAGAAAACATCTTCTAACATTGTGGAAACATTTACATGGGTACAACATGACGAAACGAAAGTGATGTTTTGCTTAGTTTTTTTGTCACTTTTAAGTCAGCCACCTTTTGTTTTGCAATCAATAACTTGCACATTTTCCATACTCTATATTTTGCTGCTAAACATTTTTCAAATATTGAAATTCTAGATTCACAGACATTATTTTGGACCACATTATTTAATATATGTGGCTAAAAGTCTAATGCAAACACTGAATCTCACAGATCTCATGTGGAGCATTCAGAACTAGTAAGTGATTACACTTTTTACTCTTCCAGGCATCAGACACACTCTAGAATAGATTATATACTTTGTTCTTGTGAACTTAAGGGTGCTTTCACACCTACACTTTTGTTTCGGAACGTGTCTCGATTGCCTAGTTAGCGTGGTTCGTTTGGCATATGTGAACAGGGCAATCGCGCTCTGTTCCGCGCCAAAGTAATCGCTCCGAGATCGCTTGAATGAGGTGGTCTCGGCTCGATTGAAACGAACCCTGGAGCGGTTCGATTGCAGTGAGAAAGCGATCCGATCCGAGCGCGGTTATATCACAGTGTTTTATGGATATGTAATAGGCATACGGCTATATGAAGAGAGAATTATGAGTAGGGCGGGAAGTTTCGCGAGTCTCCGGATGCCCGCAAACGAGTGATGATCTCCCGGTAATCTCACGTCTCCCTCCCGGTCCTCAAATAGGCATCGTCGCGCACCCTTCTCACCCCTCCCCACAGCGTCTCTCCTCAGACACGTCGCGCGCACACACCCTGTCAAGCACCATCAAACCACCACCTCTCCTGACAGCTTAGCGGGACGCTGCAAAATAAACCCTGACACTGACCAATGTGAGGAGAGTTTACTCGCACGTGACTTGTTTTAGCTCTTTTGGTCCGATTAGAAACTTTGCAGTGTGAAAGCGAACCGCTCCAAGAGCAAAGAGCAACAATGTAACAATTGTAATCTCTGTTTCGGAACAACTGAATCGATTCACAGGTGTGAAAGCACCCTAAGATGTATTTCGAGTGCACCATAATTCTCTTTGCTGTAACATCGGACCATAACTCGCTACTGACAACATTTTCTTACTGATCATACGAAAGGACACCAAGATGGCAAATTAATATGTGTGTAAAGATATGTATATGTAGGGGCAGATTTATATACATGTATGCATATGTGTATTATTTTCTATAATATTATAGACTACATATTCCCTGTATTTATTTTGTGTGTGTTTAAGATATGTGTATCTTATGTTTATATGTATGTATATATCTTCTGTTAGT